TCGATCACGCCAGTGCGGAACCGCTTGTACTTCTTGATTTGATCCATAATAGGCTGGATGCGGATCTTAAGTAGGTTGAGAGTTTGGTGGTCTTTCTTTTTCTGCGCCTTGAGCTGCTCCTTGGAGAGGGGGGTTGCTGGCTTAGGGGGCGGCGGGGGCGCAACTTCCAACGTCTCCAGCTCTCTCTTCTTCCGATTCTCCGGGTCGGGCAGGTGTGCAGGTGATGCCTTGACGTAGTCAATCACTTTAGTAAAGTATTCATAGCGTGCCTCGCTACCTGGCGCTCTGAGATCGTAAAAGTTCTTCTTCGAATACCCAAACAAGTTCCGCAGCACACCGTTGTCCATATCCTCACCTGCCGACTCCTGAACGCCTAATAGCAGCACAGGATCGGTCGGAGGAACTGACCGCAGTAAACCCAGGAACGTAGACATCACGGCCGGGCCGACGGTATCAGTCCAAGCCTGGATGTTTGGGATGTAGATTACACTCGGCTTGTGCCTTTTGACTTCGGCGAAAAGCTGGATGACGGCAGCCTCCGGTGACCGAGTCGAGTCGCTGAGCAGGGTAGGGAGATCGAACGCTTGAACATGGAGCCCCTCGAAATGGTGCAAAAGGGCGCCGGCCAGATACTGCTGGCCCATTCCTAGCGGCCCGCGGAGCAGCATGCGCGGACGGAATACCCGGGACCGATCAAACTCCTGTTGCATTTGTTCGCGCTGGAAGCTCCCTGATCCTTCCGGTTCCTCAAACTGCGCCTCTTCTAGCGCTGTAAGTCTCTTTCGCTGCGGCAAGATCAAAGACAACAAATTCTTGATCTCTGTGAGAGGCGTGCGCAGCAAAGGCTCGACCGAGGGAGGCAGGGGTGATGCACCCGACGATGTTGATCGTTCCGACGACGGGACCATCTTCTTGATCGCTAACATGAAGTCCTTGGGGGTCACTTCGATGGTTTTCGGGTCGATGAGTAGCTTCTGGTTAGACTTGTAGATTTGGGGGTATCGTCGTTGCACTGCATTGAGGGCTGCCTCTGTGCAGAGGGCACGAAGATCAGCACCTCCATAGCCCTTGGTGATCTCCGCCAGCTCATCCTTGATGGGGCCAGGCAGCGGTGGATCCCAGCCCTTGGTGTGGATGTCCAGGATAGAACGTCGGCCATCCTTGTTGGGCAGAGGAAAGTAGAATTCGCGATCGAAACGACCAGGGCGTCGAAGTGCTGGGTCAATTGAGTCGGGACGGTTCGTGGCGCCAATGACGATGACTTGTCCACGTCCATCCATACCATCCATCAACGCCAGAAGAGTGGATACAATCGAGGCATGGATTTGTTCCTGCTTACTTGACCGTACAGGTGCCAATCCTGAGAGTGAAGTTAGCTTTCAGTACTTTCCTGACCAAAAGGGGCGTTACTTACCATCGATTTCGTCGAAGAAGATAATACTAGGCTGTGTCTTTCGAGCCTCTTCGAAGAGCAACCGAAGTTGTCGCTCCGCCTCACCCACCCATTTACTTAACGCGTCGGCACCCTTGCGCATGTAGAAGGTCACCTTACGGCCATTTGAGCTGACACTGTTCGCCAATGCTCGGGCGAGCAGCGTCTTACCAGTTCCGGGAGGACCATGGAAAAGCACTCCTCGCGGAGGTACGATGTGGAAGCGTTGGAAAATCTCTGGATATAGTAGCGGCAGCGACACCATTTCCTTCAACTGGTCGATGTGGCCCTGTAAGCCACCAACGCTGTCGAAGTTGACACTCATGTCCACACCCAACGGGTCAGCATCAGCCAGTGTCTGCTTGTCTTTGACTTTGCCGAGATTTGCAGGCGTTCCGGCGTGGCCCTGGGCTGCATCGGCGCTGTGAGTCTGCGTACCCAAGAGGCCGGCACCAGGCTGCGCAGGGCCCGAGATGGAACCCCCTGCACCACCCTTGGGGTGCTGCATAACCTCGTCATCACTGCTATCGCTGTCTACCCCACCCGTAGCAGCCGGTGCGCCTGGGGGCCCCAAGATGGCAGACGGCCCGCCGCCTCCGAATGGCCCATACGTGGGAAACAGGGTGCGCTGCCAACTGTTGCCGCCGCCTCCCCGGCCGCGGCGTGAAGGGGATTCATTGACTTCGTTCTCGGCCTCCTCAATGGGCAGGATCAGATCAGGCCGGATGATGCGGTAGTCAACGTCCTTGCGACTGCGGCGAGGCTTCTCGTAAACAATCTCCTGTTGTACTCGCCGACGAGGACGACCGCCGCGAAGATCCTCCAATTCCTCTGCGAGCTCCTCCGCGATGTCAGCACCCGCTTCGGACTGTCCCCGAGATCGGGATGCGCGCTTGCGGAGACCCGGGCGACGGCCGGCGGTGCTGTCCTCATCCTCCTCATGGGCCTGACTTCCCTTGCGTGGTGAAGCTTGCGACTTCCCAGACTGCGAGATCTCGTCGTCGTCATTAGACTCCTCTTCCTCGGGCTCGAAATCACTCTCCTCGTCGTCTTGGCGTTTTCGTTGTGAACTTTTTGGCTTCTTTCGACTGGAACGGCGCGGGTGTGCAGCCTCGTCTTCCTCCGGCTGCTCGGCCTCGTCGTCTGCCTGCTGGCTGCGGTTGGGTCGATTCCTCCTTCGTGTCGTCGGGCCCTCATCCTCGTCATCGTTGTCGTCATCGTCGCCACCGTCCTCCTTTGCATCGCCATTCTCAGACTCTGGAACGAACCCTTCATCATCTGCTGTGGTTGTCTCTTGTCCCTCGCCTGCTGCAGGCGGCATGCCGTCCTCGAAGCTGATCTGAACATCGCTTTCCATAATTTCGAGTTGAGAGCCTTTGACCTCCATGGTGGTCTCATCGACCATCTCTTCATCCTCCTGCTTCGGCTGCAGCTCCTCCTCCTCCTCATCGAGCACCGGGGCCCGCTTCGAGCCACGGGAACCCCGACGCCGCTCTAGCTCAGGGCTCCGTGTGGTTCCTCGTTCGACGGTCTCCATATGTCGTCCGGACGTCGTTAGGGCGTGGAAATCCTCCGATGGATCCCGCGTGCGCCGAGTGACCCGGCGGGGGCCCTGAAAGTTTTGTTTCAAGGCATCACCGACCTTCAGGGTGACCACCGTACTCTTGCGTTTCTGGGGCGAGGCTTTAGGGCGTTCGTCATCGTCCGTATCGTCGTCTTCGATGCTGCTGGATTCGGGTTCGTTGTAGAGGGGACGGTTCGTAGCGGCCCGGCGAGCGACTAAACCGCGAGCGTTGCGTTGAGCGTTGATATCATCGTCCTCTTCTTCGGACTCGGCGAATGAAAGGTCCTCGGCCTCGTCGAAGATCTCGTCATCGGAGATGATGTCGTCGTCGGAATCGCGACGGGCCCTTTTCTTGACGGGCTTGGACTTCTTCTTGGATTTGGTTCGAGAGGCGGAGCGTCGAGATGAGCGCACGGGATGATCGCTGTAGTCGTCATCGTCCGAGTCGGACTTGTTGGCCAACTCCTCAATGGAGCGCTTAGCACGAGGCATGATGCCGCGCCAGACAGGGGATCTTTTGCGAATTGCCATGTTAGTAAAATGAACAAGACGAGGAAGTGATGGGTTAGCGAGCAGAGGATGAAGAGAAGGATGTAGAAAGTAGAGAAGATACAAGAAGCACGAGGGCGATGGAGCGTGGAGTTGAAGCCAAAGATGGAGAAGATGTCCCGCCGCGGCGATTAAACGGCGGAGAAGAATGACAGTGGCACTTACAGAGGCCAATGTGAATAGAGAATGAAATGGAGGATGAAAAGGCCCGTTGCAAACCGACAGGAAAGGCCGGTAGAAGAGGAAGCAAAACTCGATTACACTCACTCGGACAGACACACACAGAGCGAGCGATGGAGAGGTCTCTCACTCAACGAGCGACGATGGTGGTAGATTCTCAGGCAAACCCACAATGGAAGCAGGATTCAACGGCCATCAATCATAAATGAAGAGGGGAAACAGACGCCGTGAATGATACAACACGAGGGGAGGAGAGGGAGTGGGAGGGAAGAAAGGAAATAAAAAATAGAAGACGACGGCGAAGCGCAATGCGCCAGAAGCAAGAGGAGAGAGAGAAAGGCAGGGAAATGAAATGAACGGAGCGAGGCTCACGGACTGACCAACCGGAAGGGACGCGTCGCATGCAAGCTGCTCAGCACAGGGGGAGGGGATTGGATCCCCGATGGAGAGGAGGGAAGAAAAAACAAAAAGGACAAATGAATGAATGAAGAAAAAAAAAAGAATCTCCAAAGTGGTCAAAGTGATGGATAAATCCACCGGGGGGGAAGAAGACGATGGATAGATCAAGAGACCGGAGATGCTCACAGCAGCAACAAGCAGTGAGAGAGACACAAGAGAAGCAGCAGCTGAACTGCGCGGGCAATTCAGTCCCCGGTCACTGGCCTCAGGCCACTACCCACCCGTCCCCGAGTGGTTACTAACCAGCAACCAGTTCCTAATGTAGTCTAGCGTAGCCGCCAATCCATGACTGTGCGCACCACAAACCAAACAAGTATCAGCCCTTTTCCATTCTATCTTCGCTATTTCTCCCGTCCTGTTTCCCCCCCGTTCCTTTCATCAACAACATTCAACCCCCTCCCATACCCCAAACAACAAACCTCCTTATTTCACCTCTACATAGACTCAAAATAATACAAAACTAAAATATCTCCTCAAACTAAACAATATTATCTACAACCTTTCCAATAATGACCCATCAAAAATCCAAAAATCTTCTTTCAAGATGAATTCATAAAAAAACATAGTAGATCTTGAACCAACATCTCAGCCCCATAATGTGCCTAGATAGTCAAAAAATAAAAATAGTAAGCCCACGATTTTTTCCCCACGAAGCTTATCGCCCTTAAACTCCTTGCCCTGCCCCTCCCCGCGTGTTCTCGACTTTCGCCTCTCGCTTGATATCATGTGACTGTTTGGCCGAAGGCATCGCTGAGTCAGCACGGTCCGTCTCATCGCCGGAAAGCAACTTTCAACTTGCGGAGATACATTTAATATCTACTACATAAACACAAATATCATATATATTGTCAGTTATACCTTATCTAATATCTACCATTGATATTCATGAAAATGCTCTCCCGTTCCTTCACCCCTCTTCTTCTCCGCTCCCGGATCCCCATCACTCAGCGGGCCTCTCTGTCCACCTCTACTGCCAGATGGAGCCAGGACTCGTCATCATCCAGTGCTTATAGAGAGGGAGTCAGTATACCAAGCTATCTATTCATCCATCAATTAATTCAATGCTAATTCATGCAACCAGATGGCCCGCTACAAACTCTTCGTGAGTCCCTTTGCCAAGGTCTTTCTCGGTGCCATCTTCACCTATCAGGTCATTCACTGGACATGGCTGAAGTTGGAGATGGATGAGTCTAAGGCGGAGAAGAATAGTAAGTTTGATTCTATTTCTTTTCTTTTACTCTTTTTAAGGAATGAAGGGCATTCGTAGCTGATCAATTGGTTCAGAGGAGGTGGAGGCGCTGGAGAAGAAGGCTAAGGAATTGACCGGCGCGCAAAAATAAGCGTTTTGATCGCCTCATTCAACTGGTTTATTATTTGTGTCTTGGAGTGTATATATACCCCTATCTTAGTCTTATATATTGTCTATGTGGAGTGCTTGTAGTAGTGGTAATAGTAGTAGTCTTGCTCTTGAGTCTTTGATTGTTGGCATGCGTGTCTTCGTTATATATGTGTGTGTATCCTAGCGCTATAAAAAACAAAGCAAATGATGTGAATGGACGTGGCTAAAGTTACATGCCCCCCTTATCTGTCATGAAGATCCTCCAACCATACTATCCTCATCAATACTGTAAAAGTGGCGGAGCACCGCTTAGTCCGTGCCAAGTTATTGCATCCCCTCGTGCGAGGCTAGGCCAATACAATAAGCCGAGCTGCCTTTGTGAGGCAACCGAGTCGGCTGCATGGTGTCGTCACCACGATAGAACGATCCCCATGAGGAATCCAGTCTCGACCGTTTGTCCAGACCCGCCATCTGTGCGGCATCTCTGTGAGGGTTCGTTGGAGACTGCAGCGCCGGAAATTTCCGCTTCCGCAAATTCGACGATTGAGGGTAAGAATTAGACTGACTGTGTTGCAATGAGTCGGTCTCGGGCGTCGGTTCCTCGTCGATCGCCATCAAGTCATCCTGCAGTGGCTCGTGCTCGCCAGCGCATTCGCTGCTCACGGATTCGTCATCGCTGATTTCATCCATGGCCGGCTCACTCTCATACCCGTTGCCGTCGGCCCGTTGTTTCTTGATCTCTTCCCGCTCTTGACTCTTGGTTAGATGTCCAGAGGGGAGGAGCCAGTCTTCCACGCGCCCGCCTTTCTTAAAATGCTCGACATCGATGTGGTTATATCGTTCGTTCCAGGCGCCCACTCCCTGTGTCTTCAGGGGTAGCAGGACCCGGCAGAACCCGCACCAGTAGTGTGAGGGACGTGGGTCACCGTCGCGGTTGATCCGATTATTGCATAGAGACGCCCGAACCTCGTCGTCGTCGGTTTCGTGATGCTTCTTCAGGTGCTGGACGTATATCTCCTGACGGTAGAATAGGCGCGCACACGGGAGACCCTCTTGCGTGGCATCGGGTTGGGTGCACCGCCAACACTGCGCGTGGAAATGCTGGGAGTTTTCGTGACGTTTCCAATCGGCCTTGCTGCCGAAGGTTTTGTTACACTTGGAGAATGTGCACCCGTATGGCCGTTCGTGGCGCTTCTTATGCTTCCTTTCAAAACCACTCCGTCAGCAAAGACCCGGCTGATATTGAAAGAAACACCAAGGCTCACTTACTTCATCTCACATCGCAGACGTGTCCGCTTCGTGCAAAATTCACATTGAATCCAGCCCTTCTTCTCACGGTCTTCATCCGGAGTGGCTTGGGAAGGGGCGTGGCTGGAGCCAGACGGCCCGGAAAGACGATCAAGGGCGGCGGACAAGATCCTTTGTAGCATATCGCGCTTGCGGTCCGACAGCTCCACATTCTGGTCGACAATTTCGTCTCCTGACTCCGATTGCTGGCTTCGTCTTCGCTCGTTGGTGTTCATGGCCTTTGTCATCGCATTGATCATGTTGACTGCAGCTTCGTTGACCATGTCGTCCATCTTTCCGTTTCTGGCGGTGTCGAGTTGGGCGGGTAGAGGGACCTTTTGGTCCAACGAAGATTCCAGGTTGAGAGCTCTCAGAGCGGGCAGCTCGCTAGGGAGTGGCTTTGCAATCGGCGGTTGGACCGATGCAGCGTCAGCACTACGGTCGTTGTACTCTTCATTCATTCGCATGACGGTATCTGGTGTGAGGGTTTCAGGAGACGGAAATCCCCTATCGACGCTAACTGGTGAGGCCGAAGAGCCTTGAATTGTATCTTTCGCAATACTCTCGGACTGGGAGACTGGCTCGGCCTGTAGGGTTGGCGCTTCTTCCGACAGGGAATCAATGAAAGAGGACCCCAGCTCCTGCGGCTTCACGCAGGTTTCATACCACTCATGCGACCTAGATAACATGTTAATGTCTCCATCTTGTAGCCGATACGCAGAGTGTTCAAGTGACTTACCTCCGTAGCAGCTCCTCAACGTCCTCGTCACTGTGCATACGAGCAAGATGTTGACGAAAGTTGTCCAATCGAGGCCATTTCTTATTCCGGCGTGGGCAGTTGTGTCCGAAGCACATGTAGAGGACCTTCGGTCCTCGCTCCGGCTCCTGCTTGTGAACACACTTCTTGTGACGAGCAAGGTCGTTGATGGTACCGAACCCCTCTTTGCGGGTGCAGTTCGGCTCGTCGCACTTGAAGAGCTTCTTGTGTCTGGCTTCGTGTTTCCTGTGACAGTCAGCTTCCTAGCCCTTTCACTGAAGCAAGCACCTAAGGGAACGCACCTCTTGTCGGAAGGACACTTGCCGGTCCATTGACAACCAGGGTAGTCGCACTTGATCACGTCCTGGCACAACAAGGACGGAGAGTCCAACGCATCCATGGCGTCACCATATGGGGCGGTGTTGAGGTCGAGTGCGGATACTCTATCATCCTGCTCATGGTCGAGAGGTGCCAGGAATGGGCTGCAGGCCGACTCAAGGGCGTATGATGCAGCCACAGAGCGTGTGGTGCAGCCCTGCGTACTATATCCGGAGTCGGACAAATGGATACCGGTATACTGACTGCCAGCCTCGGAGGGGGTGCTGTGATGTCCACTTGATGACCGGCGATCGAGGCCGTAGACTTGGTGCGAACGCGGGACAACGAACGCAGCGGGATAGATGGGCCCACCTGTCACTTGGAGCGGGTTCCACGCCTCTTGGTCGTTTCTCCATCGTGTCAGCGGAGGATAGGCGGAGGCATCGAACAGCTGGGGGAGGGGAGAGGATGTTTGCTTGTGATACAGTGACCATGGTTGAAGAATGGATGGATGACTAGGATGAGGAATGGCTGGTTCGGATGCGAATTGGAAGCCCAAGAATGACGCCGGATCGCCCAGCGTGAGGTCGGACGGGGACAGCCCGTCGGATGAGAGGTCGACCTGCGAAGAACCTGATGTAGGCACTGCCCGAGTGCCCATGATGCCTTGAAGGATATCACTGGAGTTGTCCCAGGGCTTGCTGGGATCGGATGTCTGTGTCACCAAGAGTCAGCTCTGGCCCGTCTCTTGGCCGGCCGGGCATGTACATATATCCCGCCCGCCGGTGCATGACTGAATATTCAGGGGGGGGGGGGGGAATAAACAAAAAGAAACCTGCAACATACACTCATGATGTGTGTGATAATGGCCGGATGAAGCAGATCCTACAGGAGTAAGCTCATCCGCTTTCTCGGTGTGTTATTGGCGAGTGGGAAGATAGCCTCTGGCGAGACGGGAGGAGAGGGCGGACACTGGGAGGTTTATCATATAGCAAGAGGGGACGAAGCCCGTCGTGAGGGAACCGATCGGGTTCTAAACCGAGACGGCGATGATGAGCCACAACGCTCCTATGATGATCAGTTTCCTTTTCCCTATCGGGGTGGAATCGTTGGGTTAGGAGATTGTCGAGCACCGGGTCCCAGCTGAGAAGATGGAAATGATAGAGAGCCGGTAGATCGGCCGCGTATCACTAGAAGGAATAATATATTGGGAGACAAGAGGAGGAGGGAGAAGGAAGAGGGAGGGGAGAATCAGCCGTGGTCGGCGACCAGAAAGACACCTGGGCTAAAACAAAAGCAGGAAAAGAAAGGGAGGAGAGTGAAAATCAGCCGGATGAGCGACCGATGAACCGGAGAAAAAGAAATGGGAGGAGAAAGAGACGAGCAGAAGAGGAGGAGAAGAAGAAAAAAAAAAATCACAAAAAAAGCAAGACAGCGAAAGAGGGGGAACGATAGGAAGAGCGACTGGAACTAAGCATGCAAGAAGACGAGGAGCAGCAGCAGCACAAGCAAGCAGTAAGCGAATAGTTGGATGGGGAACAATGGCAAAGTGGATGGAAAATACGCAGGCCGAGGAGGAGGAGGAAAAAGGAAATAATGCAGTTCAGAAAAAAAAATAAAATGAAATAGAAAAAATGAATAATAATTAAGAATAAATAAATATACGTACCGAATAATTAAAACATTACTGTACGGAGTAAGAATAAAATCAAATAAATAAATACTGACAGAGAACAGACGACAGGCCGGAAAAAGCAAAACTGGAGAGAGAGACCGAGAGAGAGAGAGAGAGAGAGAGAGAGGATCGACCGAGGATCTCCATTACAAACCCTCAAAATGCCTCCCCCCCACGCGATAACGTGTCGAGGTGAGGGAGGAATTGAGTCAACAATCCAGAAAAAGAGGCATCCCAGGGCCCCATCAGACGCTCTGACAGGACGAGCTAATCGAAGCGGATGGTCATGGCATGTCCCACGTCAAGGTCTCCGCAAGCTGGCATTGCTGGAGAAGAGGAGGCCAGAAGGAATGCCACGCCGATCATCCTTAGTTAATGCTCATCTCATCCTTCCATCCACTGGGTCTTCCTGCTGCAGGTCTTTTGGCTAGCACTTTCAATTGCGCTTCCCCGATCGATCGAGCCCAGCAGACCAGAGAGGAGTGCGGTGACAGGTTGAGACTCTACAGTATGTGGATCGAAGCTGGGGGAAGGGAAAAAGCTGCTGGAGAACTGGAGCCGGTCTAGAGAGGCCGGTGGACTCCATCCCGTTAAGCATCCAAGCTAGTCCAGACGGACCTGTCAGAGCCAGTAAGCCGACCCACGGTACAAGACTCGATAGATCCTCTTTCCGATAGGCTGGGTCGATAGGAGTGGATGGATGGATAGATTGATTGATTGACTGATGGAGAGAGATTGATGGATGGATGGATGGATGGATGGAGACTGGCAAGGACCAGCTATCGTCCATCCTCTACCGGCCCTCAGGATCCGATCGAGATGCGATCCCAACGGGCGACACAAGGACCCTCTGGACCCATGGATGATGGTTTGATAGATAATAGGAAGAGGAAGAATAATCCGACAGACTAGACTTCTCGCTAGTAATGGGCTGTATTGACTTCGGCGCAATTATTCTCAGCCATCATCATTCCTCATCGTCGTTCTCTCCCTCTTGCCCCCCACGGGTAGTAGTTGTCGTTCTGAATTTCTTTTTCTTTACTTCTACCATTTTCGTATTGCTCTTTTCTCTTCTTTTCTTCTCTGTTTTTTCTTCGGTTTTCTTTTATTCCGTATTTTTTGCTTTTTATTTTTCTTTCGCTGTCGTCAACTTGTTGCTTTTGCCCCTTTCAGCTTTACT